TTAGAAACCAACTGCCATAATAATTAATATATATAGCATTTCCAAGTCAATTTCAACCTTTTCCAAGTCAAATTCAACCTTTTCCAAATCAAATTAAACTTTTTCCAAGTCAAATTCAACCTTTTCCATTTCAAATTAAACCTTTTCCATTTCAAATTCAACCTTTTTTTATTTATTTAATTATCTTTAATTTTTCGATGTGTGGGTCTGTTATCGTACGAGTAGTTTTTGAAAATAACCTCCTTTTTAAGATTATGTGACTGAGTTTCGAATTATTTAAGTTTTTTTGAATTATTCGATATAAGGGTGTATTTTTATGTTTCCCGATCAGTAAATTTTGAAAATGACCTCCATTTTATGATTACGCCGCTGTGTTTTTATTTATTTAAGTTTTTAGAATTTATCCAATATAAAGGTCTACTTTTATGTTTCTGGAGCTGTAGATTTCGAAAATGACCTCCATTTTAAGATTACGCCACTGCGTTTCGACTTATTTGAGTTTTTCGGATATTTTTCATATGAGGGTGTTTTTTTATGTTTCCGGAGCTGTAGATTTTGAAAATGACCTCCATTTTAAGATTACGCCACTGCGTTTCGTCTTATTTAAGTTTTTTTGATTTATTCGATGTAAGGGTCTACTTTTATGTTTCTTGAGCCGTAGATTTTGAAAATAACCTCCATTTCATGATTACGCCACTTCATTTTGAATTATTTAAGTTTTTCGAATTTATCCAATTTAAAGGTCTACTTTTATGTTTTTGGAACCGTAGATTCTGAAAATGACCTCTGTTGTATGATTACGCCACTGCGTTTCAACTTATTTAAGTTTTTAGAATTTAACAAGTATAAAGATCTAATTTTATGTTTCTGGAGCAGCAGATTTCCCCCATTTTGTAAATGACCCAATTTCAAGTTTATGCCACTGTGTTTTGGATTATAAAAGTTTTTTTTTTTACTTTTTCGGTATAAGGATCTACTTATATGTTATCCGAGACGTATTGAAATTTTTCTAATCTTTAATATTTAAATTAGAATTCGGAAAATCGAGACTAAACCTCGTGGTACCACCTATAATAGGATCACGCAACACATGGCATATGCTGATGATGTCATAATGTGGGCGGGGTGGCCGAATGGGCTAACACGTGTGCACAGCACCACCGTTGCTCGGCAACCTGATATATGAATCAAATGGATATAAAAAGGGTCACGAGTTCGCATCCCGATGCCGAAGGGAGTCTTTTAAATCCCCGCCCACACCCTCTGGAAAACGGCCCGGGCAAACCCCGTATAGCCTTAATGACGAGGAAGGGGAGGATCCAAAAAAAAAAAAGAAAAAAGAAAAAGGTAGGCAGCTCTAGCTAGCACTGTAGAAGAGCAAGTAGCCCAAGAGGTATTATGAGTTAGGAATCATGATAAGTACAGAAAAGACAAGGTATATGCAAACATCTCGACATACCAGAAAAAGAGGAGATACTGTTGAATTATGAGAAGATATGTTTCTTAACTGTGATAAATTTAAGTATATAAGGGGAGTAGTGATGGAAAACAATAAAAATGGAAAACAATATAAATCATTAATTTTTATAAAAATTTGGTTTGTTTAAAGAATCGTTCACGCTACTGTACATATTAAATGGCATGTTTTAATTTTCATATATTAAATCTTTATTTTCTTGTGATTAGTTAACATAATATTTTGTATTTTTTAGACCATATAAATTGATAATACCTAGAATGATTATAGGAATATCTGCTTATGGATACTGGAAATTTAATTTTAAAAAGAATGTATTTTAATAGCATTAAACTTATTACCAATAAAAGGATAAATAAAAAGATAATAAAATAATTTTTATTAAATATAATTTTCTGTCGGAATTTTTACTTGTGGGGCGCCTGGCTTTACTGACCTTTCATGTATAATGAGATAAATATAGAAAATATAAGTTACTTGCCCACTATTTGGCCATTAAACATTAATCCTATCGTGCTATCTCAGGTGAGAAAGGGTTAGGTTGGATATTTTTATAAGGCAGCAAAAAAAGGTTAAGAGATCTATTTACAGAAAGAAATATTTATAGAATTAATACTATTTACATGCAAAAGAAATAAAATAAAACGAAAAAGAGATAATTTAAACATAATTACTATATACAATTAAAGATAAATAGGAAGATACTTAAGATAATAAAGATAATAAAAGTAACAAAAAAGATACTTATTCTAAATACAATAGTATGGCATGCCACATATAAACATCAAGAAACGATAGTCAAGATATAATATGTAAGAGCACATGCACATACTAAAATAGGAATTAATAATTAGTCACAGAAAACAAAAGAGAGAAGAGTTCTATTTTTTTTTCAATGCTTCCTTAATCTTGGTTACAAACTATAACTCCCTGTTATGGTTATTATCATTCTTTATGTTCATTTCTATTTTCCAATTTTTGTCTTGGAATACGTTTATTCTTAGGTATTCTCAATAATATATATATATATATATATATATTTTTTTTTCTTCAATGGGTGCTACAGTCCTTTTAGGACCTGGGGCTCTGCCACCACTTTTCTCTACTCCTCTGGGTCCACAGCAAGGTTCTTCCAATTTCTGATCCCCAGCCTCCTCTAGTCTTCTTCCAGATCATCCAACCATCGTTGCCTGGGTCTACCTCTTTGTCTTTTCTCTTCTTGAGTACCATTCAGCATCATTTTTGAAAGTCTACTCAGATTGATTCTTTCAACATAACCCAGCCATCTGAGTCTGCCCTTCTTAACAACACTAAGGATATCTGACACCATATAATTTCATTAGTTCTATGTTGCTTCTGATTCTTCATATATTCTGCTCTATGATGGATCCAAAGATCTTCCTTAGAACTCTTCTCTCCCAGACTAACAGGGCTCTCCTGTTTTCCTTGGCCATAGCCCACCTATCACTGCCATACAAAACGACTGGTCTAATCACAGTTTTATTTATTACAAGTTTTGTTTTCCTGGACAGACTTTTGTATCGGAGCGCCTTTAGCAGGGCATAGGAACATCTAGTTCCTGCAACCATCCTCATTTCAGCTTCCACATTATTTTTTTCCATCACTACTCCCCTTATATACTTAAATTTATCACAGTTAAGAAACATATCTTCTCACAATTCAACAGTATCTCTTTTCCTGGTATGTCGAGATGTGTGCATATACCTTGTCTTTTCTGTACTTATCATAAGAAAGAAAATAGAACTCTTCTCTCTTTTGTTTTCTGTGACTAATTATTAATTCCTATTTTAGTATGTGCATGTGCTCTTACATATTATATCTTGACTATCGTTTCTTGATGTTTATATGTGGCATGCCATACTATTGTATTTAGAATAAGTATCTTTTTTGTTACTTTTATTATCTTTATTATCTTCCTATTTATCTTTAATTGTATATAGTAATTATGTCTAAATTATCTCTTTTTCGTTTTATTTTATTTCTTTTGCATGTAAATAGTATTAATTCTGTAAATATTTCTTTCTGTTAATAGATCTCTTAACCTTTTTTTGCTGCCTTATAAAAATATCCAACCTAACCCTTTCTCACCTGAGATAGCACGATAGGATTAATGTTTAATGGCCAAATAGTGGGCAAGTAACTTATATTTTCTATATTTATCTCATTATACATGAAAGGTCAGTAAAGCCAGGCGCCCCACAAGTAAAAATTCCGACAGAAAATTATATTTAATAAAAATTATTTTATTATCTTTTTATTTATCCTTTTATTGGTCATAAGTTTAATGCTATTAAAATACATTTAAAAAAAAAATTAAATTTCCAGTATCCATAAGCAGATATTCCTATAATCATTCTAGGTATTATCAATTTATATGGTCTAAAAAATACAAAATATTATGTTAACTAATCACAGGAAAATAAAGATTTATTATATGAAAATTAAAACATGCCATTTAATATGTACAGTAGCGTGAACGATTCTTTAAACAAACCAAATTTTTATAAAAATCATTAATGTTTCAATCTAAAAGTGTTTTTATCTTCTTAATTGTAAGCTTATTTAACCTTATAGACATTGTAGATGTAATATATATTTAAATTAGCCTTATTTTCAATTAAAAACAAGCCTAAATACAAAATCCGTTGAGTTGATGATTTTTTCCCTCTGAATCATGCTACTTTTTTGTTTAAATTCCACTACTTTGTTATGCACTTCAGTCTTTATTCTTTATTGTTAGTCAAGAAATGTTGTATAAACTCTAGAAATCTGAGTGTATCTTTGAAAATTCTTCTAATATTGGAATTCTCCGCTTTTTAACATTAAATTTAATTTAACATCCTATATTGCATAATTTCTTCTTTTTTTTTCTATTTAATGTTACTTTTATTTCATAAAATGACAAAATATTATATTTTTTACTGTTATCTTGATTAAAAATAATGTGCCAAATCAGCTTAAGCCCAGATCGTATTAAATGGTATGTAAGAATGCAATGGTACCATTTTGCACCCAGTTTCCCATCTACTCACAAGAGGTCTCCAACTCCAGATATAAAAACACACTCCTAAATCATTAAGAAGACACCTCTGTGTTTTACTCTTGGATCCAAACAATCACCTGAAAATTCCACTCCATATCTCCAGAGCTATTTTTATTCAGAGGATAAAAAAATATCAACCCAATGGATTGGTCCCTTAGGTGGTTTCTAATTGAAAATAATGCTAATTTAAATATATATTAGATCTACAAGGTTAAATAAGTTTACAATCAAGAAGATAAAAACACTTCTAAATTGAAAGATTTGTAATTTTTATAAAAATTTGGTTTGTTCAAAGACTTTTTCACACCATATATGTATATGTATATCTGTAGCAAACATGAAACTTGGCAGACAAACAGTCCATTTCTAATTATGTTGTTTTTATAATTAAATTGGGTAAACATATACCAATAATTCAATAAATGTTATATATTTAGATAGATAAATATAATACATTACATCCTCCTTTGAGTTTGGGGCAAAAGTTCTGAAAACCTTTTAAACAAATAGCTAGCATCTTCTTCTAATAGCAAATCACTCTTAAGTATCATATTCACAATATTTAATATTTCATCAGGTACCTGAAAAATAAATATAGAGTAAAATAACCGGTTTCAAACTAATTTTATGAAGTCATTCCTAAACAAAGTTGAAACTGAAACAGAAATTAAGATGGTGAGAATTCATTTGCATTGCTGATTATCTAAATTACAAAAGAGAGGACATGCTTGAACATCAAGAAAACATTTTCATCTCTCATCAATGAGGAGGAAGAATAGTAGAGTAGAACCAGAAAAAAAGATGGCCTTCAGGTGCAGGAAGTTAATGAGGCACTCTCAAAATTAAAAATGTGACTTCAAAACATCCTCTTCGATAGATATAACATAATTAGCAGAAGAGAACATTGGCTGGCCACAATGGATCAAATCTTCACCTAAAGAAAATCCTGAAGTGTGGCTCATGTAACTTCTTTGTCGACTTCAGGAGTGCATATGGGAGCATCAAGGGGGGGGGAGGGGATTATATAAAGCTTTACAAGAAATGAACATCCCTGTTAAACTGATTTGTCTTGTTAAGTTGATGATGAGAGACATAAGGTTCCAGGTCCGAATATAATCAGGACATCCCAAAGTTCCGGTCCTATAACGAATTAAAACAAAAGAAGATGGACTTGTCTGTCTTTTCTTTAATTTAATGTTGGAAAATGTTATAAGGTAAACAGAAATCTAAATCCAAGGCATTACATTTTACCTGTTTTGTTTTGCTAATAACTTGAACACATCAGATAAGTGTGTTTAGCCTTATGTTTTGCAAATCCCATCAGAGAAGCATCATCTATGTGCCTAACAATTAATGAGGATAAGTCAAAATAAAAGCACACATCACCCGAAATCACAGAATTTTATTAGTGAAACACCACACATTTGAATAAATCAAGGAGTTTACTTAGTTTATTATCAAGGTGACTTCAGAAAATGTTATTATGGCTGTCAAGATTATAAAGTGTCTTCAAGACTTTTCACAGCAGGTTAATTAATTGGCTAACCAACCATATCCTTTATAAGACTCTTGTCTGACCTATACTAAGCTATGCCTTGCAAACCACTTGGATCAATTCCAAGCATAACAGAAGGGGGAACTTAATGATCTTTGAAAGAAAAATGCTATGTTTTATTAAGGTACCAGTGAGGATTAAAGCTGAATGAAGGATAAAGAAGAACAAGAAGATATTCCAAATCTACGGAAAATCAAATACAGTTGTTTGTGAAGTTAGAATAGTTAGTTAGATTGAACAAGAATGAACAAGAGATCCCAAGGAAAGAACTTGAGGAGGTCCTGCATCTGGCCCAAAGAGGTGGAAGATGCGCAGCCAACCTAGCCTACTTAGGATTAGGAACTGGGAGGTAGTCACACAAGACAAATTGAGGAAGCCAAGACCCACTAATTAGATAAGGTAGGTAGTAGAATGGAGAAAGGCAGAAATAGAGAACAATGGGTCAACATTATTAGAGCCAAGGTTCACCCAGGTCTGTATCCATATAACAAATAACTCAATTGGCTTTTAAATAAAAATGGATACGTTGTAAAAAAAATATAGAGAAGGGCACATTGTATCCAAATGATCAAGATCTAAATGACAAGCTAGCTAATACCAAGAGACATTTACTACTAGTGTTATTTGTTTTCAAGTAGAGTAGAAGTTAAGAAGTTTCAAATTCAAATTAATTTAAGAAGTCGAGCGTAAGTTTAAATTACAAGACTATTTATTGACTTTAACTGCATATACTAAATTACATGAACTTAATTTTATTTGTATAGAAGTGCTTATGATTTTTTTTTTTTACCATTAATACAATTTAGTTCACTTTATTTATTTTTATTTACAACAAACGTAATGTTTTAGTTATATTCCTATGTTATTTTTTGTTGATTGTAAAAAAAAAATATATTTGTTTCAATTATAATTATGTACTGAAATAATTAAAAACTCACAAAAGAATTTACATTTGAAAAATTTTCAGTTGAGAATTTCGGTTCAGCTGCTTGCTTAGAAGAAGAAGAATACACATCTTCGATAGTTGTACCTTGTGACTCCAAATATCTATAAAGCTCTCCTCCCTGTAAAATTAAAAATTGAATATAAAAGTTAAATTATTCATGAATTAACGGAATAAAGTTAACTTAATAGTGGGAGATAACCACATAACACTAGTTACAGTTATATGTCACAGGTACCTCACCTGCTCCACAAGGCATTGCACTAATTTCATAAATCTGTCTAAAAGACAACCATATATATCTGTTTTAATAGGAAAATAGGCATAAATAATTTCCACATCTAATGATTTTAAAAAAACAACAGTATAATTATAATAAACTGGTGGTAAAAAAAATTCAGCGCACTTTGAATTTTAGGTAAAACTGTAGATTAAAGAAATACTTTTGAACCTGAAGTAAGTCATAAGTCAAAGAGGATTACCATGCATTAATCTTTTTGAAAACAAATTCGTAATTCTCTCTAGGATTAATGATAATAGTATTAAATAAAATGTGGACTTCATATCAGTTTTCCTCAAGTTCAATCGCATTGGTTTTGATTTTGAGTTTATTTTTTTCTTGAAAAACAATATTTCATTAGTATCAAACATTTTTAAGAGTATAAAATTGTTTTGGATGCTGTGACAGTAGATCAGATTACTGTGTTGATTGAGAACAGCCAAAGCCAATACGCGGCCTGAGTCCACGGGCTGCCTAAATAATGGTACGGTAGTGCAGTGGTACTGGGAGACAGGAAGCTACCTAAGGAGGCCATTGATGAAGCCATCCAAGAGCAACAGGACCAGCGAATAACCGCTTCATTGCTATGCACACACTTAGAAACTGCTTCCAGATTTCAGTTGAGACTTCTCATTGACTGCATATGGCTTTAGGGTGCAGATGTCAGCGCGCATACAGTATGGAAAATGCTTGGTGAACTCAACCTAGGGTCCCCACTGCCGACTCTCTACTCACAGCACAGCTCGTCTCTACTTTTTCTGTGAACATGCAGCGTGGACAGAAGATAATTTGATCTCTGTACTGTTTTCTAATGAGTCAAGGTATAGTCCTTATGATGCAGACTAACGAGTTCAAGTGTGGAGAAGAACAAGTAGGCAATAATGAGCTTATTGCTTACCTGGTCTTTTTCTGTGAACATGCAGCATGGACAGAAGATAATTTGATCTCTGTACTGTTTTCTAATGAGTCAAGGTATAGTCCTTGTGATGCAGACTAACGAGTTCAAGTGTGGAGAAGAACAAGTAAGCAATAATGAGCTTATTGCTTACCTGGTCTTCTACTGAGCGTGCAATATAGCAGTAAGAGTGTAGTAAGGGGGAAAGTCAATGATGATTTAGGGTGGAACAAGTTTAGAGTCAAAGCCAATAAGTTCCAAAGGCTCATGCTCTATGGTCATGTGTACGTCATCAACATACTCGAGAAATATGTTATACCTTTTGAACCATCTGTTTCCTTCGTATGCAGGAAAATGCTTGGCCGCACATCGAAAATGTTGTATGGAACTACCTATACAAGGTTAGTGCCCGCACCTTGGAGTGGCCATACTGCAGCCCAGACTTCAGTCTTTGGAATCAACTTGGGACATCCATCCGTCGACAACAGAACCTTCCATGTGACTTACGTGAATGGGATCATATTCAAGCTTGGGTAGCGTTCTAATCAAGTTTTTTTTCCTGTGATCAGGGATTTATTGTAATAAATTAATTATTAAAATACAATTTTTATTCATGAAAAGTACATCAGCAGGAATAAAAGAGAAGGAAAAGTGAAGGAACAGGAATAAAAGAGAAGGAAAAGTGAAGGAATAGGAATAAAAGAGAAGGAAAAGTGAAGGAACAGGAATAAAAGAGAAGGAAAAGTGAAGGAACAGGAATAAAAGAGAAGGCGGCCTTCAATTTATGGTTGAGGTTTAGTTTCTTTTTAACATTCTCTGTAATCTGAACTTTTTGATTATCCAAACACACCCCCTGCAACAATCAGTTCAGATTACTAAACATCAATCATCAAGTTAGGATTACTGAAGATCAATCTAATCATAAACAGTAGAATGGAGAATGGACTTTTTTCTTTTTTTAACTAAACCTAAATACAGAGAACGAACAAAAGAAAATGTTATAAACATGAAATTAGAAGAAAAAAATCATAATAGTGTTCAGAGAGCCCATTCACACCCTATTTACAATAAATAATAATACTAAAAGTAAATCTATATAAACAAAAGAACTAAACTAGCCAAATAACAAATAAAACACGAGCATACTTTTATACAATATTTACTGAATCCATTCACTCAGGAGAACTCTGAGCCAAGCCTTTCTATCCACTTGTGGAAGAAACGGCAGGACTCTAGGAGATCCCAGTGCCTCTTACTCAGTCGCATTACTGCTATTAAGAACCGGTAGAAGCTGAGCAGAGGCGCAATAATCACACATATATGGCTTGAGTGGAGAATCTGGCTATTGCCAAAACTCCAATATATGTTTATTCACAAAATGTTTCTGGGCCACTGCGGCTTCAACCTTCGGAAGGATTGTAGGGATGGGTGGAGCTAGAAAGGGATTGTGCAAGAGGAGTTGGATGATTTGCAAGGTTCTGATGAAATTTTGAGAATTTTTCTGGGATAAGGTCTAGGACAAATGGGATATTAAGGTCATGGTGTAGGGTTTTGTTGGTTACATAGAACGGGGCACCAACTATTGTTCGAAGGACTTTAGATTGAAAGGATTGGATGCGTTTGATGTTGGAAAATTTTGCTGTCCCCCACAGTTCAAGTCCATATGTCCATATATGTTTCAGGATTGTCTTGTAGATAATTAATTAGTTTTCAATAAGTTTAGATTTTCTGTTCAGTAGTCTGTATAGTTGGCCATATCGTCGGTTGAGTTCTCTTTTGGAAGTAGAGAAAACTTAACATGCTTAATTTTATAAACAGATTCTTAATCTAATAATTGCTCTTAACAGTGCACCATTGCTACCAATATCAATATTTTAATTTATATTATGTTTTTTTTTTCAAATTCACACTGTTATGAAAAATTATACTTCAATAATTAGATCTAGCATCTGTTAGCATACTTCATAAGTATCATACTAAACTGGTGGCAAGAGTTCACATTGATCACACTCTAGATTGAATTTCAAAAGTGTTAGAATGTGTTCAACAGAAGATGGAGGTGAAAGATTCCCTCGATAAGGTCCTGACCTATACTGAGGTTTATACGTCCATTTTAAGCAAGCAGAAGGCAAAAGTATCAACCTAATTAAACCAGTAATAATTTTACTTTCTAATACTATTAATTCTACTAAAATAACAATCCTAATAATCCCAATTAACCTTATTTTTGACTAGGTTAGATTATGCCTTTGAATATGGCTCTAATACTTGGTTATTTTTAGAATTCTATCTTCAGTGTGATGGATGTGGTCTTGGCCCAGCCTCTATTTAGGTAACACTTGTGAAGTTTTAGGACAGCAAAAATTCAAAGAAATAAAATAATTAGAAGATTTCAGCATCTATTCTACAACCCTATCTATCAACTCTATTACCTGAATAATGCGAAAAGCATATATCAAACCAAGGTTGTAATCCTTAATTGTTTAAATTTAGCATGGGAGGTTAATAATTGAAATTGAAAATTTAGCACAGGAATCAATCGCTACTACACTGTATGGTTTCACAAATTACTACTTTTGAAAAAATTAAATGATAAACTAAAAATGTTAAGTTTAACTCCTCACAACCTAAAATTAGTCAAAATAAGTCTGTTAACTAAATGGTTATTTATTATACCTCCAATATAACTTCTGTATCCTCTTCTTCAATCATATTTTAACACACTTTCTAAAATTAATAATAAATTTAAGAAAAACAAATGTTTAATTAAAGCGCCGAATAGAAACATCGATCATTCAAGAAGCGTTTACATCTTTAGGGCATGTAAACAATAAGAGATAAGACATTCAGGAAATGATAAATATTTCTTTCAGATATCCGTAGTTTAATATAAATTTAGAAATTAATTTATATAAATATAGAAAATCTTATATAAATAAATATAAGTTAAACTGATTGAGGTACTTTTCTGTTACTGCCCCACCAGTAAAAAAAAAACTATGTTTTTTTAAAAATTATAGTATGATAAAATTAGAATAAAAACATATGGTACAACAAATTATTTATTAACAAGAAGACAATCATTGTAAAAATTATGAATATCTTTTAGAATTGAGGTAAATTAATCCGTCGTTCTAATTTTTTTTATGGCACACATTTACATTATAACTTTTAAAAAACTGAGTTTTTTTACTGGTGGGGCAGTAACAGAAAAATACCCCGATTTATATTCTATAAGCCCTAAATTGACAAGCAGAGTAGGACACTAGCGGATCCAGCCGGGGAGCGCGCGCCCCCTACCCTCCCCGGGAGCTGGAAAAAAAATCTAAAAAGCAGCTATTTAAAGAAAAGGGGGGTATAGGGAAAATTCATCATAGACGATTTACATCCTAATGTAATACAAAAAAAATCTACCGTGACCACCACTAGCGAATCCTGCCAGTGACAAAAACACCTATTTAAAGAAAGAGAAATGTAGGGAAAATTCATTGTCATACACGAATTTCCTAATTTTATACAAAAAATAGTAATAATTCTACCGTGACCAGCACTAGCGAATTCTGCCTGGGGGGGCGTCCTCCCTTAGATGGTGGAAAAAAATCCTTAAAAAAGTATCCAAAAACAGCTATTTAAAGAAAAGAGAAATGTAGGAAAAATCATCCTCTAAGATGAATATTCTAATGCAATCAATATCATCACCCTGAGCTCGAAAATCCATTACTGGATCTTGGCTGCCTCAAGAGTTTTCCTCCATGTTCCCGGTCCTGAGCAGCCTCCACCAGTTCCTGGTTCCATGAATTCTGGCATCAGCACTTACGCCATTTTCCATCTCAGTTTCGGTCTGTCCTCTTTTCTTTTTCCAACCGGCTCCATGCTCAGTAGCTTCTTTGGGATGGAGGTCTCGTCCAACCCTAAAACTTGGCCCTTCGATTTCAGCCTTGCTATCCGGATATATTTCACCACATTCGGCTCCTAGTATAAGTTGGCTACGTCTTAGTTAAGTCTAATTATCCATTCACCATTCTCCATAACTAGGCCAAATATCCTCCAAAGGACCTCCCTTTCAAAAACTAATATTTTAAGCATTTGTTTAATGAAAAGGGAAATATAGGAAAAATTCATCCTCTTAGACGAATTTTCTAATGTTATATATATATATATATATATATATAAAATATTGTCGTGACGAGTACTAGCGAATTCTGCAAGGGGGCGACCTGGCTGGTGGGCAAAAAGTTCCAAAACGCAGCTATTCAAAGAAAAGAGTGATGTAGTTTTTGGGCCGTCGTGAGATGCGAAGGCTTGTGCTCCTGTCGCAGTTTGTCCCTATTGACTCCGAACTGAAATACATCTCGCAGATGAGATCACTGATTATTAACACTCCGAGATACGATACTCTTCTTAGCAGCTTTTTTTTCTTCCCTTCCAGTTTTGGAAAACTTCTTTAGAGGACAATGAAGAATTATTCGTATCACCAATTGCTACTCCTCTCCTTGTAATTTTCCGTCTAAGATCTGGTTCTGAAGGGGATCTTTGGCTGACGACAGATCTGATACTATCTCTTGCGATGCTGCTCGGAAGACTGTTTCGAGCTGCAGGTGTGGCAGATGTTTTTACTCCAGGGGCTAATACAGTGCGTGGAATTATTGTTTTAACTGGCACTGGCCCGGTCTTGAAATAAAGAATAATATACTTCTTCCACTATTCTTCGTTGACCTTGACCGAACTCCCGAGGTCGAAGACATCTACAAGGTCACACGCATTTATTATACGAGCGTTGTTGTTGTCCTACGCCAAGCGTGAAATTGTTCAATTCCATAACTGCCAGGCTTATGGCCATACGAAACTGTATTGTCATCACATTTCTAGATGTATGATGTGTGGTGAGCAACACAAAACAGAGGACTGTATGAAGTCTAGAAATTCACCTGCAGTATGAGCTTTATGCCACTGAGGGCACCCAGCCAACTACAAGGGTTGTCAAACCTACAAAGACTTAAAAACACGAATGTACGCAACGGCTAGAGAAGAAGCTACATCCAGGCCACCATGACAACCCTCTAGAACAGTGAACGGAAGAGTGTCCTATGCTCAGATGTTCAAAGGAGACACTGTAAACACTCAATCTCAGACCCTGCCACAAGAACCTCAATCTAGAGAATTCACGCATCGACCTCAAGATCCATATCCCTCCATCCCTGAACCTAGGCTCAATAACCATACATTCATTCCCCCTCCTTCCAATTCCACTGGCCTCACAAGCCTATTGACATATTTTCTTTCTGAATTTAGATCCCTCATTACCCCTTTTATTTCGTTACTTACCAATGTTATATCCAAACTCATTCCACTGCCAAGAAATCCATAAATGTCCTCAACCAAATCCCTCTCCATTCTCCTTTGGAATGGGAATGGTATTCGAAACCACATCAACGAATTGACAATCTTATTACATGACAAAAACATCGTCATAGCACTAATAACTGAAACCCGACAAACCAACAAACGACAAATCAACGTTCCCGGCAACATTATTTATCGAACCGACCATCCTGATGGAACAGCACATGCTGACACTGCCATAATTATCCATCGATCCCTGACCAACCCATGATTTACTACAATCCACAGCCGTGATAATCCAAACTTCCCTTTACCCAATAACACTAGTTGCGGTATATTCCCCGCCTAAAATACCATTTCCGAATCCCAAATAATTTCCTTCCTGAAATCCTTAGGACACCACCTCCTCCTAGGTGCAGATTTAAATGCAAAACACCAGCAATGGGGAGCTAGATCCACAAATTCCCGAAGGTGAACATTGCTATCTGCACTTAAATCCCATCGCAGCAAACATACTTTCACCTAATACTCCCATACTGGCTAACAGATCCCAACCGCAATCCCGACCTTCTAGACTTTTTCATACACAAAGGTCTAGGATCACTACACTGTTCCATTTCAAGGCTTGATGATCTTTCCTCAGACCATAGTCCTCTAATCCTAACCGTTTCCACATCACCCATTCCTAAACAATCCCCACCTTCATTTATCAGGGGACCGGTTAACTGCAACTCAGACTTTCCTTAAAAACATCTGAAGACCTCGACGATGCAGTACATTCTACTCGGCAGATTGTGCTCACCACTGTGCATTTTAAATTAAACTGTGTATGGCCAATAAGAGTTCAATCTTTACTCGTAGGCAGCCCCAACTCGTAGGACTGGTGACCCTACTCCCGTGTACTTAAATCAGGTCTAGAAAACCACATCTCGCTGTCAAAGATCTACACGGTCTGTAGCGCCAACCGAAAAAAAAAGATAAACATACGAGTAGTTACATCTGTAGGTTAAACGTTGGCGCCAGTAAAAAACGACTTTGTCCTGACTAATTATCACCCAACAATCAACTAGTTTCAATTTGCTTCATAAAAAATAAATATAACGTATATAGGTACATAATTTATCTTTTCATCATTCAATTGTTTAATTATAAAATACTGGATAATATTTATGTAAAATATCTCAGAGTTTATAATTAATAGTTCATTAAAAAAAACGTACTGATTGTAATTCACTAGTCTTGTGCAGACACCTTTTCCTCATGTAACAGCTCTTTGGTCATTTCTCTATGGTTGACACATGGTTTCTTAAGTGTGATCCCGAACGGCTAGTAGTTTGATTGAGCTTCATTGAAATTGTATAGTGACAAAGATCAAAATGAGTGAAGAAGAGCTTGAAAATAAATCAAATTACTTCTTTCATAAAAGCTTGAAAGATATTTTAAGAAACAATGAAAAACCTTTGTTTAGTTTAGGGGGAAGTGGTAAGTTGATTCTCTGGATTGTTTGTATTTGTATTGAAATTTAATTGATTTTGCCATCATGTTTTTTGTCATAGTATTGATTATTAATTAACTTGCAGTGTAATTTTTATAAAGATTTTTTTGTAGATGGTAAATGTCTATCTTAATTTTATTATTTGCTAGTTAAGTACCCTACCTTTGAGATTTGATTTGTTTCTAGGTTTTTCTTTTGCTAATAAAGAAACCTTTTCATTACAAATGTTTTATTTAACTTATTTCCATCTCATTCAATCTTTAATCTCATCCATTCAATGTTTCTATGATATTTCTTTCTTAATTATTAAGTTTTAACTTTAATGATAATTTTATGTTCCTATGATGATGATTATAACTGTAATGCAATCTTTAATTTCATGTTTTATAATTGTAATTTTAGATTCACATGTTGAAACTGATAATTCTTCAAAACCTGGACAGAATTCCAAGTCTCCTAATGAAAAGACCTGTAGCGAATCTTTAGGAAATAACAAAAAAACAAATATTGTGGAATTAAGATCTTGGAAGGAACCTTTCTTTTTCTTCAATAATGATAATAGATTAAAAGGTAATTTATTTTTATATTTATTATTAGAAGAAATTTCATGCATGTTAATAAAGTGGTTGGGATTTTGTGTTCCACTAAAAAATTACATTAATTGACAGATATTAAGTGGCTTTTTTTTCAATTGACCCTATCTAATTAGCAATAGATAATTTTTATGTTCTTTTAAAAATTAGTAGCTACATTGACAACTTACTAAAGGTACTATTTCGCTAGCGCGGTTCACGACCGCGACTGCTCGCGGTTGACCACTGCTTTAGTTGAATAGAACCTATTTCGCTGGCGCTGCTCGGCAGTCTTTGTATGACATCATATCTAAGCTGCTCGTATCTGACTCCTCTTGAAGCAGTGGAGCTGTTGGCGTTTCGGTGGTTGTAGGTTATGTTATCATATCAGAGCATTGTTTTGATGATAACAGTCACGTCGATACGTTTTATTTCTTGTTTCTTTCAAGTCGGGCAGAATTATAACAAATATTGTTTAAAACTGAAACAATGCAATAGTAAATTATTTTTTTTAAGTTGAAGTAACAAGATTATTTATTTATTTATTCCACCAGCAATATTTTACAGCGAAATACAAATATACCTAAATCCAAACGATATTAAGTGAATTAAAGAATCCAAGAAATTTTATCGTCAGGTAAATACTAAAATCCACCCATTGAAAAATCGATCTGTATTTTTTAATTAAAGTGGTGATTTACTGATTACTATTGATAAAACTATAAAACATCGCCTGCTGGGATTTAATTACAAATATATGATATTTATTACTAATCAATTATGTATTAATTACTATTACTTTTCAAACTAATAATATCTAATATCAGAGGGACTTTGATGATGAGCATCACATCGAAATATTGATATTCCTTCTCTTTATGAACAACATTTTCTCTTCTTTTTCCAACTCAAACAAAAAAGCGGTAGTCAGAGATGTTCATTATTATAGGATGTTCATTTTTATTATTATATTATGTCCATCTTTTTATCTTCGAGGATACAGCGAAATGTTCGAAGGTTATAGGCAGGTTATAACAACCGCAGTGAGCAGTTTCAGCGAAATAGGTACGCCAACAGCGGTTAGCAGCGTGGATTAGCGGTCGCTGTCATGACCGCGCCAGCGAAATAGTACCTTAACTAGTAATTATGTTGACCTTTAACACACTAATGTTTCGTTTTTGGTTAACTGCAACTGTTCTCTGTTCGGCCTCAAGTGAATTTGACCTTTAATTTAAAGTTAAGCTCAATTTGATGTATGTGAAGTACTTGAAGTTACTTAAAACCACCCACATTGTTTTGAGATTGTTTATTTGGAATCATTTTTATGTCCTTATATCATATTCATTGACCTTTTCTAGCTCAATAGATGAACAAACTTTCTTTAAGACCCTTTGTCAGTTGAAGATTGCTGCAATATGAATATTATTTTAGCATGGTTAAAGCGTTGTGACATTTCAGATTTAAAATTAGTTGTCCTGTAGTTATTATTATTCTGGCACAGTGAAGAAAGTAATGTTTATGGTTATGAATTTCCAATTCTGACTTGCAACATATATAAAACTTTATCAGTTATCAGACTGGGTTCCTTCTTGCTGATGTGATCTGATTTATTCTAGCTTGCACCAGATAAATATAACTTCTTAATGTTGTCTCTTTTTCATATACAGCTTTATGGATTGTTTAAATTAATAAAACTAAAAAAATTATCTGTGTTTTACTATTTTGTCGATTCTTTATTTCTTATACAGCTTATACATTTCATATACAGCTTTATGGATTGTTTAAATTAATAAAATCAAACAGGTTATCTGTTTTTTACCATTTTGTAGGTTCTTTATTTCTTATACAGCTTATACATTTCATATATAGCTTTTAGGATTGTTTGAATTAATAAAACTAAAAAAATTATCTGTTTTTTACCATTTTGTTGGTTCTTTATTTCTTTGGCTTAAGGAAGTTGACAACTATGGGCTACCGTAAGTTTTTAAAATGACCTTAAACTTTAATTGTAGTAATAACATAAAAATATTGAATAACACCATACTCACCATTTAATAGCCAGACGATTAATTTTGATCACTAAATTGTGAGAACCGGTTTTTGGTGTGTTGTGGGTCTAAGGTAAATATTCTGTTAAATTGCCTAATCTTATCGTACATTCCTCAAATCTATTTTAAATAGTATCAATCTAAATTATAGAAAAATTTCACTTGCAGCTGATTTTAACGAGGATGACACAAAATCTGGAAAAACTAAATTCTATATAGTTAACTTAATGGTAGGGATAATGATTTTAGAAATAATTTTTAAATGGTGAAGAGGTTTTTCTTAATAATTAATTTATTGAAGTATCTCCAAAAGCAGCTTGAAAGTTATATAAAGATTAACAACTTAAATATTAAATCATATACATATATGGTTAAATATAAGCTTTTGAATATTTCTCATTATTAACTTTATCTTCAGAAATTTCTTTACCTTCAATAATTACTGATTTATACACATAGTTAATTAATTACTGATGATGCTGTGATAACAAGAAATTTTTGATATAACAAATTCACAACTTGTAAGTTATTTTTTTAATTAATTCAAATAACATTCAACTTATGAATCAGTGCTTGTTTTAAGATTGGAAACATATTTCAAAATATTTGAAAAACAAAAAATGATTAGTTGATGACAAGACAGCTGTATGAAAGTTATGCACAGGGGGGAACGCTTTCATCTCAAGTAGGGCAGAGATGGGCAAATGCCAAAGTAATGTTTTTCGGGTAAATGTCGCCCGAAGACTAATAAGTTAGCTTGAACACAGGTTGTCTCCAATCAAAGAGTACAGAATAAAATAGAGCGGCCTCCAGGGAGTATGAATGTGGACTCAATACACTCAGTCTCATTATATTCAGTTAGCATAACTTAGACAAGATTTGAATTGTTTCCTTCATCTATTTCCATTCTTTGTTTTGATCGAAGAGAAGGATAGTTGGGGTGATCAGTCAAAATAAAAATGGCAAAAATAAATAATAATATTATTATTTTAAGTACCATTAAATTATACTATATTATAGTATACTATAATTATAGTATACCATTAGTATACTATTAAATTATTGTTTTAAGTACCATATGCCTATAGTTAAATATATAGATTATATTATAATTGTGGGTTGTTGGTTGACTGTAGTGAATAATGAAGAGAAGGATAGTTGGGGTGATCAGTCAAAATAAAAATGGCAAAAATAAATAATAATAATAATATAAATATAATAATAATAATAAATAATAATAATATTAATAAATACATAATAATATTATTATTTATTTTTGCCATTTTTATTTTGACTGATCACCCCAACTACTTCTCTTCTTTATTCACTACAGTCAACAATCAACCCACAATTATAATATAATCTATATACTTAACTATAGGCATATGGTACATAAAACAATAATTTATAATAGGCCGTGAGTAAAGTACTCAAATTGGCGCAGTTCACCTATTTCAGTAAAATACTCAAAGTTGTGCAATTCACATTTGAGTAAAATACTCAGATTCCGGCAAGTTAAATATCTGAGTACCGTAATCAGAATCAGGAGGTCAATAGTTGAGTAAAATACTCGGGATTCAGTACTCACTTTGACATTTGCCCATCTCTGATGTAGGGTAATTGTCCGGCCTAATGTCCTCTCATAAGGTCATTATAATCATAAGTTGTTTGCCTATAGATCAGTGGATTCGGTTTTAATTTTGTGTTAAACCTTCACACATACCATTTAAAATATATACATATTCAATATATATATATAATGAATCACTGAAAATAAAATTAGCTGGAAGAAAATTGGTTTTTACAGTAAAGTGTACATTTGACTATACATAAATACTAAAAATGTGTCCATAAATACAATGGTTAACTCATAGGAGCAAATTAGAAGAAAAAGAAATGTCACAACCAATGCTACACAAGGGGTGGTTGTGACAGTGCTTGGGATGAGAAGGAACAGGTTAAAAAATGCATCAAAATGGTCTAAAATTTATAATTATTATTATTATAACAGATTAAATAAAATCTGGGAACATTCTAATCGTTTTATAACTAATGCAGTTTGGGGCACACCACAGCCGTATATAGTTTCTTCCCAATGAAACCAAACATACACTTAGGTTCGAGAATAATGCACTTACAATACAGTTGTTGTAGCCATAGGCGCAGACTTTGGGGAGAAGTGGGAGTAAATTCAAATTATCAGAGAATTGAGAGTTCATCTCACTGCCTCAAACCAGAGATAGGCAAATGCTACTCTGAGTTCGGAATACCAAATATTTTACTCAAATTGAATCACTAATGGGAATTCAATCTCTACTTTAGTTAATCATTTGACAGTAGTAATTAAATTCTTTAGTACTCAAAAAAGGTCAGTATTTGAGTAAAATACTTAGTACTCAATACTCAGAGTAGCATTTGTCCATCTTTGCCTCAAACCTTTAAATAATAAAGATAAAAATGTGTAATATTCAATTGTTTCATTAAATATTTTCAAATATATCCTCCATAAAAAAAATGTATATAAATTTATTTTTATGTATAGTATTTTATTGTTCGTTTTACAATAATTATGTTGATTATGTTAATTATCACTTATAATTTTTACAAATAATATAAACTCCCGATACTTTTTTTTTGGATCCATCGCCCCTCCATCCCAACCTAAATGGAAAGTCTGCGCCTATAGTTCTAGCTACGTCTTTGTTTGGTTTAATTGAGAAGGTGCTTCATACAGCCCGTGGTGAGGCTCTGACACGGTGCGGGCATGTATGTCCCAACCTTAATGCATAGTAGCATCTACATACAGTTATTATAACAGTCTTGATATTAAAATCAGTCATAATAGTCAACTAAAGATTTCTATTTAAACATAACAGTAATCGTTTCAAAACAAAAAAGTTTATAAATGCTATTCCGAAATTAGTGAAACATAAAGCTGAACATATTTTCT